AAAACCCATAAGGTAGGATTTGACAGCAAATGTTACAGATTTTTTGAGAAATACATTTATTTCCTCAAGCATGTGAAGAGAGACTGCAGGATATGTCAAGAAGGTTGTCACATCTGGAGTCAGAACACCTGGGTGGGCACCGTTGGTTAACTTTTCCCTCATCTGTAAAATGGAGGGATCTGCTATTCTTCACAGAGCTTAAACGATGTAAAGCGCTTTGTAAACCTCATCATGCTGTATAAATATCAGCTACTATTATTGCCTGTGACTAATAAGAAATGCAATTGTCTGCTCGAATTTCTCAAGGAAAGTTAAGTGAGCATCCTGTAGTTCTTGAAAGAGAAACTATCAGCTTACCTAGATAACTCAAAAGTAAGGATCAGCAAAAGGTATTCTTATTTATTCTCTTCCCATCTTCACCTTGAGACCAAGAGAAGAGGCTAATATTATTCTATGTTTGTCTACAAGAGAAAAGCTAGCCTTAAATCTTATTTTTTTTGATTTTTTTTGTAGCCTTGTATCTTGAGAGGTAATAAGTTACTTTTCACTGAAGTCTTCATGTGGAGACTAGATACACACTTGACAGGGATGTCGTGTTACAGTAACAATTGTTATAGCTAGCATTGATATAATACTTTAAGATTTGCAAAGTACTTTACAAATATTATTTCATTTTATCCTACTATTATTTAATTTTATCTTACTATGCTATTATTCCCATTTTATAGATGAGGAAACTGAGGTAGATAAGGTTAAGTGACTTGCCCAGGGGCACATAGTTAGTAAGTGTCTGAGGCCAGATTTGAACTCAAGACTTCCTGACTTCAGGTCCAGTGTTCTATGCAATATTGCAGAGAATTCCTGAACAGGTCTGATTTGAACTAGACAATCACTGATGTTCCTTCTAGCTCTTAAATGTCTAAATTTCTCTTATTTCAGGTTTGGCTCCCTATTAACTCTAATATCACTTATAAACCTTTATTTTGCACATTTCATGCTTTTCATAACCAGGCCCCAATCCCCAACCTAACATTTCCTGGCATATTATACATGACTTTCCTTCATGCCTCCAAGATACGGTCAAACTGGCTTTTTTTAAAAACAGTTCCTGCCATCTAGGAGCTCATTCTTTTCCTCTTTTTTATATTAATTTATTTAGTTTTAATTTTCAACATTCACTTCCATAAGATTTTGAATTCCAAATTTTCTCCCCCTTCCTCCCCTGCCCCCACCCCAAGGCAAGAACCTGATACAGGTTCTACCAAACTGGTCTTCTTATTGTTCCTCACACCCTGGCACTCCATTTCTTTCTGTCCCCTTCTTAAGGGTTATCTCCCATGCCTGGAACTCTTTCACCTCTGCCTCTCAGGTACTTCAAAATTCAGCTCAAATACCACCTTATGCATGAAGACTTTCATGGTTTTTTCAATTTATGCTTATGACCTCTGCTCCCAAGATTAATTTTGAATATAGTTATATGTGTATGTTACCATCTCTTCTGCTAGAACATAAGCTCCTTGAGGGCAGGGATTGTTTCATTCCTGTCTCTGTAGCACGAGTGCCTAGCCCATATGAGGCACTTAATATTTGTCGATTAATTGGGTCATCTATTCATTCTCTCCATGGCGATGTTGCTGAGTGAACATTTAGCCTCTGATGTAACTCTAGCTCCAATCAGACCCAGACCTCTTATATTCTTGAAGTACTACTCATGCTTTTACTCACTTTTTTGGGAACATGGTGACTGAAATCCTCCCCCTTCTTTTTGCTGTCTATTTTAAAAGGGCCTCAAGTTCTGATCCTAATGTTGCTTCCTTCAAGAAGACTTCTCTAATTCTTTGTGGCCTAAGTTGAGATCTCCCATCTCTGTGTTAGGGGCTTCTGCTCCACCTGTTGACCTGGAGTAAGGGGAATGCTTCAGGCAGGGTACATTCCCATAAATGCACTGAATATGTCAGTACTTTTTGCTTTCCTCTTTTCTCCTTCAACCCCCACAATTACTCTCTTCATGGTAATCTTTGTGGTGAGTTTTAGATGTGACGTGAAGTTATAGAAGCACGTTAAATGATTTGTGGAAAACAACTAATGTCTTCTACCAAAGAGATCTTCTTGTCATCTTTTCTATCACAAGAGCGAGGATCGTACACTGGACCTGTATAGCTAACATTTAAACTATACTCTCATACTTCCGTGTATGCAGCTAGAGACAGGCAGTAGTTAGTCTATCTGGCAAGAACTCTGGGCCTGGAATCAGGAAGAAATGGATTTGAATCCCACTTTTGACAATTACTATTGTGTTACCACAGCCAAGTCGCTTCATCTTTCTGATCCTCAGTTACCTCATCAGAGACTTGGGACAATAATACTATAGTACTTGCCTCACAGGATTGTGGTAATGATTAACTAAGATCATATCCATAAACTACTTTGTGGACCTTAAAACCTAACAGAAAGGTTTGTGTTGGATAAACAAAAATTCAAATTGGGATTATGAATTAAACTAATTTTTAAAAATATGCTAGACCTCAGACAAATGACTATTGTCCTTCAAAGTAGTTGACCTTAGGATAACATTGATTATTCCAGCAACACAGCCATTTCTGAAAACACATCTAGAATACTTTGGGAACAGCCTTCAGCATCGGTCTATAAATGACCCAAGAAAATCACTCTCGTTACTTTATAGCCATGTGTAAGCTATTAATCAGCTTGATGAACCACTAGTATTATTTCCTAAATTTGACTCCAAATGGCTTTTGGCCACAGGCAATTACAAAGTTATTCTCAAAGAATGAAGATTCACTATCACTTAAGTCAACTTTTAACAATGGTATCTTTTTTTTTTTTTAATCATGATCCCTTTGATAGTCTGGTGAAGTGTTTCTCAGAATAATGTTTCTAAATGCATAAAATAAAATACACAGAATATAATGGAAACCAATTAGGAAACCTGTTGTACAGTTGTCAAAATATGAAACAAAACCCAAATTCATGGACTCCCTTCCCTTCCTGGAAAATATTTATGACCACTGATACAGAAGAATGTGCAACAGGAGGTGTGCTAGTGTGCAAAGAACACTGGGTTTGGAGTCAGAGGACATAGGTTTGGTTACTGATCCTGTTTCTTTACTGCCTATATTGTGTTCATCAAGGGATTTCATTTCACATGGCTTCTCATTTTCTTATCTGTAAAATGAAAAAAGCTGAACTATATCTCTAAGTTGCTTTCCAGTTTTAGATCCTTTGAGGCTTTCAGAGTAACTTCAAAGAAGGCATTCTAGAAGAGTACTGAGCAATAGCTGAAAGCATCATTGGGACAAGCAAGTTGCCTCTCAAATAGACAACTGTCATTTGGTTCCGCAAGTCCCAGTATGGCTAAAAAAATTATCTGCCTTGTTACCATAGAGTTACACCTTGGATGATGACTTGGTGAAGCTTATCACAAGTTGGGCCATCCTCACGTCAATAACACATGCTGATATCTATCTATGGCAGGGAGGTCCATTATCTGCTTTGCAGGACCATTTTCAGAGCTCTTGTGATGGCCCCAGGGACTGCCTATGAGCCAAAGTGTGCATCTGATGGGGCAGGAAGGCATTCATTGAATTTATCTGTGATAGAATAGAAGAAGAATTATACTATAGAAGAATACACTATACACTACAGAAGAATTTCAAAACGAGTACAAAATGATATTCTTCTATTTTTTTGCAGTTGTACCTTCCTTTCTTGTATTTACAATTCAACAGAAAATTATTAACATAATCACTATCAGGGATAGGTTGGAAATACATGCTTCCCTCCTCCACCACCCCTCTGCCCCATCACAATTCTGTACACAGATTTGCCAAAAAGATACTTCAGGATCTGAATGGTCTCGGATCTCACCATTGTTGAAGAAGATCTTAACAATGACCACCCAAACAATTATAAAAAAAAGTACAAGAAAGCATCTGAAACCATAAAAAAAAGTACAAGAAAGCATCTGAAACCATACTGCATATTTCAGATGTGACCAGACATTTTTCACAGTAACTGCTCTTTCTTAAACAGCATATGCACTTTCTTTTATTGACACCTATACATTTTAAATACATCTAATTTTGGCTCATAACAAGTAAAAAATAATTTTTAAAAATGAACAAAACATATGAACAAAAGCATCACACTTTACATCAACTAAGAAAATTTAGGATTATTTTGAACTGTTGACCCTTTTTTATTGCTGAAAATTGATGGATGAAGAACTGTAGGACATGTTGCCTCTTTGTTTGTTGATGTCTGTTTCATCACTTACTTCATATTTTATAGATTGATGGCTGTAACTCAAACTTGGAAACCAAACCAACCCAAATCAGAAAAGTTACAAACCCCCCCACCCAAATAAAACAACTTTGTGCCAAGTAGAAGAATTTCTATAAGTATAACAGATTACAGTCTGCAATTGTTTTGACTTTAAACTTAGAGAAAACTTGCATCTATTTGCAGTGTGCTCTGGAGATCAGAAAGAGTCTGGACAGGAATTCAGTGATAGTAAATAGTAATGAAAATAACTGATAGTGGGTTGTGTTTCTAATCATTTTGACTCCTCCTAAAAGAGTAGGATGGTTCTACACTTTTAAATGCTATCTTTGCCAATGAAAAAAGAGGAAAATACAGTGTAAGAGATAAATAAAGGTTCTGGTTTTTAAGGTCGTAAGCTATGAAAGGGGGTGGGTATGTGAAATGGCAATTCTGATTTGTGAAAGACAGGTCAACAAGTTATTCTTAATCCTCTTAATGCCTATACGCATTTTAAGTGCAATGTGGAACCTCTCCACTCCCAAAAGGGAACACAGCTAGGTGCACTTCTCTCACATGGGTGTACCCCAAACATCGCACAGGCGTATCATCACATAAAACAAAAGGAGGCACAGAATGTGTAATTCTGTGTACAAGAAAAGTGTAATACCATGCAAAATTCTACTTTTACCAATGAGAAGAAAACTTCTGATACAGAATGTGGGCACATATCAAACATAATTTAATTACACATTGACATTTTATGAAATCTACAATAGTTGAAAGGGGAAGAATGGTGTTACAATATAAAATCACAGCAAAAGGATGTGTAAATATAAGTTTATACTGGCTATAAAAGGCAAGAGGAAAGTAGGATAAGAGTTTCAGAAAAACACTCCTTCAGGAGCAGCTATATACAGTGCTGGGTACAGTTGTTTGGAATGTCATTGGTTAAAACAAATTGCATAAACTAGACTTCACTCTTTTTATGAGATGGATGAACGAGTATGAAAGTACATTGCCCTGAACTTGTGCTCTCAGCAGGATACCATTCTGTAAGCATTTACTTTCAATAAGGTCTATCCTTTTTTTTTTTTAAAGTTCCATATAGAATTTTAACGATCTTCCATTTGTCAAATGGATAAAAAAGAGAAGTGGTGAAATAAGAAGATAGGACAGGTTTTGCCTCTTCTTTCCTCTGCTTTGAAGTATCCTCTGCAGTACATGACAAATTTCCATTTTACTTATTTCCAGTGTTTAAATATTAATCCTGTCCTGGAAAATATGAAAATTTGGGGGGGGCAAAGAAACACCTGTGCCCATACTAATTCATGGGTATATCAGTAAGACCCAACTATCCATGAATAAGAATAGTTGTAGGAATGCTAAAGAAATTCCATATTTAAAGAATCACTATAAACCCAGGACATTTCAGATCAGATCAATAATACCATACTTTGAGAACATGGCCTATTGTTGGTATCTGACAAAGGCTGATTATTGAGGTGGAGTAGGGGAATTCAAACCTTGGAAACCTTGGAGAAAAGAATAGTGATGATCCTTTCTCATCCCCTCCGAATACTTTGGAAATAACCAAGAACTCTATTAATATGGAGCAGAGATGTAAATATATTAACATTTTTGCCCTTCTGTGCCTCAGTGTTAGTGGAGAACTGTTCATTGTTTCTCTGATGCATACTTAAAAAATAAAACATTTTTACTAAAACAGTGATACAAATTCACATGGAAATAGTCACCTGACTGCTGTAAAGAAAGCCTTTACTTCTTGTCTTTACAAAGTAAATATTTAAAAAGTCGTCTCACTACTATGGGATGTACTCATTAGATCATAGTGATACTCTGCCATCTTTGTTACCACCTATCTTGTATGCCCCTTATGTGATATTAAAAACACGTATTCCCATTTCAGCCATACGACATAGTTAGCAATGTTATTTCCTAGTAACTTCTGATGCCTGAAATGGTGCAAAAGAATAATAAATCACATTTACTCATGGACAAACTTGTAGGCCCATATTCTAGTGGAATGGATTTTCCAGTTATAAGGATTTAAGACAGAGAAAGAGGAATGGGGTGGGATGGTTCATATACATGTGTGTTTATTAAGGAACTGGATTAAATTTTAAAGGAGAAGATATTTATGGGAAGAGAGGTCAATTAAAGAAGTTTGGAATGAAATTTTGGCCTTCAAGAAAATAAACATTTAGAGAGGCAGTATGGTGTAATGGATAGAGAATGACCCTACAATCAGGAAGATGTGGTTTTGAGTCTCATCTCTGACACACACTGTCCGTGTAATCCTGAAAAAGTAACTTAATTTCTCAGTGCCCCAGGCAGCTCTTTAAGACTATAAGTTATAGAGAAGGTGTCCATCTGCAATGGTAAAACGCAATCCTCATCAACAAAAATACCAATGCAGTGTCAGATAGAGTAAAATATTTCAAAGGGACTTGAATTTCTCTGCAGGGGGTAGGGTTTGCAAAAATGATTGGGGGTCATGTATGGGAACCAGTAGCTTAAAATAAAAGCTCTAGTGCTTGTAAAGAAGTTCCATGTGAACAGATGGAGAAGAATGTCTAAATGTGACTATGCACCAGTAATATTTGGCCCCAAATGACTGGAATAAGTTTTGGCAATATCCTTGAAGGTTCTATAGGCATTGTGAAAAGGTCCTCGAAGTAAAATAAGACCGTATAAAAAAGATTCTCCTAATTAAGCATCTCTTCATTGTCAGCTTAGGTTTTTCTCCTGGAATTACCTTTTCTAAACAAACTGGATATTTTCCTATACAGATAATGATTCCAAATAACATTTTCTTTAAAACACAAGCAAACACACACTCCCACACAGCAAGAAGGAAACATATAAGTCCTTGGAAACAAGAGTTCTGGGGCCTCATAATCCTTCTAATTCAGACGAGTCCCAAAGGGTACCTCTGATTCTGTCCTCAACATCATTTTACTCCTATTTTCTTTAAGATAGCCAAATATCTTCTTGTGTACAGACTATTCATGGAAAGTCACGGAATCCACCTGATGTGAGAATCTGAGTCTTAGCAAAGGGTCACAAGTAGAAGTGGACTCTTTTCTTTTCCAACCCTTGGCCTGTTTTTGTATGGGTTCTCTATGAAATTAGCTTTTGGGGGAAGGGATGCTTACAAGAAGCAAAAGATGAAGGAGGGGAGTCTGATCTAGCAGTCTACAAAGCTCCTACTTACATTAACTAATAATTTTTTATGCTCTAAAATTCAACCCTGCAACTAACAATAAAAATCTCATTGCTCTCTTAAAAAAAAAAGAAAGAAAAAATGAGTTGCAATTGTACAACCATCCAATACATGCTTCAGAAAGGAAGAAAACAGGCATCTGATTCCTTTTTCTCCTGATGCCTTTTTTGTTTGTTTTTTTGTTTTTCATATGTGTGGATGTTCATGCAACTCTAGGCATAGACTACTTAAGGTTACATTAGCAGAGAAGGGAGTTTTAACTCATGTGGAAACGGTGCTCCCCTCGTGTTATGTGGGAAGAGAATTCATACCTGTCCTGACTGTGATAGCCACACATGTTGCATTCGAAAGGATCACGGAAGCCATGGCAACCCATGTGGATAGTATACATCACATGGTCCAAAAAGAGGACCCTGCAGTGTTCACATTTATACACCTTCAATGGCTCCCCATTGTTGCTGATCACTTTGAAAGCGTCTTGGGAATTGTCAGTTGCTGCCCTCAGGACATCATAGGGCCTATGCTCTTCTTTTATGGACAAACCATTTCTGGCATGTTGGTTTATATGGTTTGTCAGGTAAATGAGGCCACTCCGTTCCTCGTTATTACTCTCTGTGTCTGTGGAGTCTTGGCAGCTGTTGCTTGGGGAGGCATCTCTTTCAGAGGAGATGGATTTAGCCTTGGAAAGCAGCAATAGATTTTCCACGGCGCTGTCCTGGGCTGTGTGGTTAGGGCGTGGGTGGCCATCTGCATGGGGCTTGTGAAGCTGGTACATGGAGCTGATGACTGGTACAACCTCGGAGCCTGGGGGCGTCTGCACCAGTGGGCGCAATGATTCAGCCCCAAGGTAGCTAATGGCATTGTTGATGGCCTGATCCATGACATGGGTCTGCATCATTTCATTCTCCTTCTCATAATTGGTGCTGGCATCATATGGGAGATCTGACAAGCATTTCTCACCTGACAATTAAAATGGGCAGTAGTCAGTTAAGACCTGAATTTCTCTAGCATTTATTTATTTCTTATTGAGAACCAAGATTAGTCAGTTAACAATTTATCTTTATGTGTCAGGCACATTGATTACATGAAATAATCAATAGGAAAACAATTTTAATTGTTTAAACAATTGTTAATTAATGATTTAATTAAATAATTTTGGCATATTGGAAAATATCCTGGGGAAATAATAAAAAAAGGCAGGCATACAACACAAATTATTTTAAATATAGCATAATAAAAATAATCAAATGAGATAATGGATGCAAAGCTTTTTTTAAAGTGATATAAAATTTTAGCATAGTGTAATGGACCCAAAGCCAGGAAGACTTGGGTTTGAGTCCTGCCTCTAACACATACTGGCTGTGCAACTCTGGACAAATCCCTTCACCTCTCAAAGCTGTAGGCGACTCTCTGAAAGACTTCCACTGGTCACACTGAGATTCCTTACACCAGTATAAGGAGTTCCTTATACTAATGAAATCATAGGTCTGGTTCCTTTCCATCATAATCATCATCATATTTGGTATATCTATTGAAGGGATTAGCTGAGGATTTATTCTATCAGTTAAGGATATTATATTGAATTTCAATGGTAATCATCTCTCCACAATTTCGGACAAAGAATATATCCCTGACACTCCCTTGGCAAAATGAACAAGTTTTGCTCTCGAGATGTTAATGTAACATTTGACATTACAGTGATGGTTTGAGTATGACCTTGTGAATGAAGACCACCATTTGTGGTTATGTCACTGACTTAATGAATGGTTGAATACAACTCATCTACCGTGTTTGTCTTAGCTTCCTCATCCTAGCAGAGGACAGACAATGATTCACTTCAGAGCATTGTGTCATGGTTTAACTCATGTGTGATAGTCAAGAGCTTTAAAGACAATTGCTTTCACAATTATAACAAGGATGGTTTGCCTCTTTCTTCTAATTCTCTTCCCCTTCCCACCTTTTAGCCGACTAGATTTCTAATCTCCTTTCAGAGAGATGATGATAATTACAACAATAAAAACCCTCTTTTAAGTGCCTACTGCTTATAAGGTCTTCTGCTAAGCAACATGGTCCAGTGGAAAGGGCACCAGATTTGAAGTCAGAGCCTGAGTTCAAATCCTGGCTCTGCTACCTACTAACCTATATGACCTTGGGAAAGTCATATCACTTCTCTTGACTTCAATTTCCTCTGTAAAGTGGAGAGAGTTGGGCTCTGAAGTCTCACCAAGTTCTAAATTTATGATCCTATGATCCACAGGTATTGGAAATACAAAGGGGAAAACTCTCCAGTTCCTTACCTTAAGGAACTTTTAGATTGAAAAGGGAGGTATGACATGTAGAAAATTAAGGATGATACAAGTTTGATTTCCATGAAGTAAAAGAAATATAACAGTGAAATATAAACTTCTTGACGTCAGGGTCTATCTTTTTTCTGTCTATCTCCAATGCGTAGCACAGTGCCTGATATATAGCAGATGCTTAATACATATTTGTTGAATGATATAGGGAATAGTATAGGAAAATCAAAGAGAGAGAGAGGGGGAGAGAGAGAGAGAGAGAGAGAGAGAGAGAGAGAGAGAGAGAGAGAGAGAGAGAGAGAGAGATTACTTTCAACCAGGAGGGATTTGAAAAGGCAAAGCCTAAGAGTTGAGCCTTGAAAGAAGAACATAACTACCTATGAGAGCATTCTATCCCCATTACCGAATGTAGTAACACACATAGTAGGTGCTTTAACAAATGTTTTTTGAATTGAATAATAGTGGAGAACAGAGGACCATTTAATAAGCATGAAGTTGAAGGTAGAAACAAAACCAAGGGAATTACAGGGAGGGAGAAAGGGCAACAGTTTTAAAGAGTAGGAAGAGATCTATCAGAAAAATATCAATTGTTTAATCCCAATTTTGTTTTTATAAGCTAGTTTTCCAATTCTTTAGATATTTCACTATGGAAAAAGTACAATCAATTTCCTTTGTCATATGTTATTGTTTTATATGTCACAGGTATGGCAGGGTTTAAGACCAAATGGTGTCTAATGCCTGTAACATGGAAGTGGTGCAGTCATTAATTAGGGCCCCATTTTACTTCAGTTCTAAAAGCTAATTATTTATTTGTTTTAAGTGAGGTGTTCTGTCTTCAATAAAGCCATTAGTTTTCATTAATAAAAAAAGTGTTTGAATTTCTACAAATATGATTTGATGTTGCTTCTCTTACATTTCATAAGGGCCTCATTCTTTCCAGTATGATAATGATATCTGTCATCACTGTATTAATTTTCTGAGTAAGGAGATTATATATATGCACACATACATATATACACATATATGCCTGCATATAAACATATGCAGGTATATATGTATATATAAGATATAAGTATATATGTAAATATAAAAACAGAATCATGCTTCATGAATTTGCTAATTGGACTTCTCTGTTGTGGTCATTAGCCATTGGTAACATGTATACACTCTCTCTCAAACTATAATGTCCCATAAAGACTGCCATATTCCAGCCTCCTTTCTTATCTGTAATTGCATATTCAACCCTGAGTTTGCATTCATTTTAATCCAATTGTAGTCATTAACATGGGATAATGGGGTTCATTTAGCAGTTACTTGCTTTTTGATTATGCACCCTTATCTACTGAACCAAAGATCTTTAGAATCTAACAGGGAGAAAAGTTTCAATAAGTCATCATTCATACAGATAAAGTTAATCAAGTCTAAAGACTTTTATAAACTAAGTGACAGATATCCATCTTACAAACAGAGAAAATGGGTGGTGCTTCTGTTCACATAAGCTTAAAGTAAACAGTGAATACTATTTCTGAATCTATACATGGAGTTGTCACTGTTCTCTCATCAGGTTTTTGAAATGATGATGAACATACTGGTAAGACTCACATATTTTACCAGCCTTTGCTATAACTGAATGCATTTTAACTCATAACTAGGAGCTCAGAATTTAGAATTCTTAGAACAAGGAGTAATGAATGAAAGTTGCAGAGGAAGATTTTGGCTCAATAGAAAGAAAAACTTCCTAATTAGTGATACAAAAGCTTGCCTTGGGAAGAGGTAGCTTTTATGTCACTGAAAGGGAATGCTTACTCTGTTGACTTCTTTTCCCTATTTATTCTCATGATCATTGCTTTTTTTTTGGAATTCCTGCAAATTTCCTGGAATATATGTATATATATATGTATATGTATGTGTATATATATATACACACACACATACACACATACATACATACATACATACATACATACATACATATATATATACATACATACATATATATATATATATATATATATATATATATATATATGTTGACAATGATAGGTTTAAATCTGAAGGCTATATTCCAAGCATAAACTTATCAGAGAAGAGTGTAGAGGAGTTTTATGTAACGATGCCTTTAGGTGTGAAGATTTAAAGAATGCCGGATATTTCTGCTCCCATCCTATGTAGCAAAATCACAGCATGCACATTATTGAAATAGATGCTGATTTTAATTTACTAAATGCACTTGGATTTTAGTTGCAGAGCTTAAGCTGAAGAAGTAAAAAGCATCTCTTTTCAACTGGATTTGTGAATGTTACTTAGACAGCACTGAAGGTTGAGTCTCAGGTTCATTATTTGTTAGCTTTGTTAACACTGGGCACATCACTGAACACCTCAGCCTCACTGTCTTCATCTGTCAAGTGGAATCAGATCACTTTTAATACTTACTTCAAAGGGTAAGAGTCAAATGATAAAGTACATGTAACTGTAAAGTTCTGTATAAATGTGGGTTATGATTGTTGTCGATTTCATTCACAAAGCCCAGCACTAGCCATTTACACAATTCTCTGAACCAGCAGGCCTTGCTCTAAATTCTATCTATAGGAGGCCCAGCAACAACATAGATGGAAGGCACACAAAATTGAGACAAAACAGATTTTTTTTTAACTGTCCATCTGTCAATAAACATTTATTAAGCACCAACTAATGTCTACAAATGAGCCTTAAAAGGGGAAGAAACATTCAGCTTACCTGTTTTTTTTTTTTAAATTTCCTCCTCCTTTTACCCCCTAGCATAAAGCAAGTTTGAAAGCACCCATTAGCATGTTTGGTTTTTAAGAGACATCAAACGTTGAACTCTTACCCACAAATTTCTGAGGCATAGAGCTCTTACGTTTGGCGACGTTACTTGCTAGTCTATCCAGCACGAGGGATCTCTCGGATCCAATCTTGCACAAATCTTCGGCCATTTCACTATGGTTGGTTTCTTCTTTAATGACTAAAGCCAAGGGAAATCAGAATGGTCAGCAATACAGATCTCAATAAGTTTAAGGGCCCGTTCTGCTAAGACAATTGAGTAAAGTTGGAATAACTCAAGAGAAGCCCCTAGCTGACTTTCAGTGCTCATAATGGTAGTGGCCAACTCTTAGAAACCTAGTTCATTTTTTATTATTTATTTTCATTTCTATTTTCATTATTTATTTAAGTGGACTATTTCAAAGTCCACTTAACTTTTTACAGGGGTTTTATATTAGATCCTCAAAATAACCCTGCAATTTAGACAGAGCAGGAATTATAATTTATATGGAACAGATGGAGGTACTCAGGCTCAGAGAGTTAACACATCCAATGTTATCCAAAGTGCTACTCATACAGAAGCAACTAGAACTCAGGCCTCCTGAATCCTAGATCAATGTATTTTCTAATATACCTCACTGTCTCCCATGTGCTAATTACACATGCTAGTGCTAATGATAGGAATCCAAGTACAAAGAAACATGTAGTTGCTTTGCAAATGAAGCATCAAATGTTCCTATGTGTTTCAACTGCAAAAGGTTCAGGGTAGTGCACAGAGGATTTTCTATTGAGTCTTGCTTAGTATGATCCAAAGGAACTCCATTTTCATCAGGAACTCTCAATGAGCACAGTGGGTTAGTGATGGCCCTTTAGTAAAGGAGAGGCCATTCAGAGATGATAGTCAGTCCTTTCTAATTTTTCAGAGTATTGCCATGAAATCTAAATTCAATTTTAATTCGTTTGATGGGTTATTATTTACTTAAATACTGACCTCCTCCAGTTATAGGAATTTGTGGTTTTCCTCCAGTACTCAAAAAATAGAAAAGAGGTGGTTGATCAATTATGCGCAGTAAGAGGAAGTATTTAAAAGTAGAGCTCCTTAACCTGGGGTCCAGAGGTGTGTGTGGATAGATTCTGGGGGATCTGCAAACTTGGCTGGGAAAAAGTACATCTTTATTTTAATGTGATTGGTTTCCTTTTTAATTCTATGCATTTTATTTCATGCATTCAATAATGGCGATGATAGCTAGATAACATTTATATAGTTCAAAGTGTTTTTACAAATATTATCTCTTTTATCCTCACAACAATCATGGGAAGTAAGGTGGTTTATTATCCTCATTTTACAGATGAGGAAACTGAGGTAGGCAGAGGTTAAGTGACTTGCCCAGGGTCACAAAGCTAGTAAGTGTCTGAGGCTGGATTTAAACTCAGGTCTTCCTGATTGCAGGCCCAGCGTTCTATCCACGGTGCCACTTAGCTCCCTTTAAACAACAATATTTGAGAGCACAGAAGGAGTCCATAGGTTTCACCAGACTGCCAAAGAAGTCTGTGACAGAAAAAAGTTTAAGAGCCTCTGGCTTAAAGTATGCTCATAGAGTATCCTCAATAAATACAGTAATACTGTAAACTGACTAACTTAAGGACATTATGCAACACTGAAGAAAATGAAGAAATGTGGTCTAATTATTATCATTTGCTCTCCAGTGGGGACATATATTGTTAAAGCTATTGCTGCTCTTCCATAAAATTTCAAGTGCTTATGTGATGTAATTGAATAAATTATAATATATAATATAATATTAACATACAATATAATAATATATAATACAAATTACATTAAATTATATAATCATAAAGTGATAAGAGATCTTGGAGATAACATAGCACATCTTAAAAGTGGGGGAAACAGAGTCAGTACAGTTTAGGGAAAGGAACCCTTAGATTTGGATTCCAAAGTACTTAATGGACTCAAATTCTGGCTATTCTACTTTTACTAGTAACCATACGACTGAGCCATGAGACCTTTCCTGGCTCCTTCTCTACCCTCCCCAGTTGCTGGTACATCTCCTCCTCAAATTACCTTGTATTAATTTTGTACATAGTCTGTATATAATTACATGTCAGCATGTTTTCTCCCATATTAGAATGGAAACCCCTTGGAGAAACGGACTTTCACTTTGGTCTTTGTATTCTCAGAATTTAGCATTAGTGCTTGGCACATAATAACTACTTAATAAATGCTTATTTGTTGATTGATTGACTTAATCTCTCTGGTTAAGAGGATTGACTTAGATGATCCTGAAGAGTCCCTTCAAACTCTAGATGCTATGGTCAAATCATCAAGTACAAGTCAGACTAATCTTATGTCTATTTTGATAGAGCTACTAGACTGGCAGATGAGAGGAATGTTAACAAAGTATTTGACAATGTCTTGTGATTTTCTTACGGACAAGTTGGACAGATATAGAGGAGATAACAGAATTACATAGATTTGGAGAGGATGCTCATGGGGACTTGGATCTGTGCTGGTTAACGTTTTTATCAACAACTGGCATGTAGGGATAAGCAACCTGCTTATCAAGTTTGAAGATTACACAAAGTTGGGAGGGAGCCAAAAGAGTCTTACAGGCTAGAATGATGGGTAATTAAAGAAGATAGAATTTAATAGGGATAAATGTAAAGTTCTTCACTTGGGCTCAAAAAATCAAAACCAACTGCACAAGTGGAGGTTGGGGGCGGAATGCCTAGGCCAGTGGTTCTCAAACATTTTTGGTGTCAAGATCCACTATTTTTTTTTTTTGTGAGACAGAGTTAAGTGACTTGCCCAGGGTCACACAGCTAGCAAGTGTCAAGTGTCTGGATTTGAACTTAGGTCCTCCTGACTCCAGGGCCATTGCTCTATCCACTGTGCCACTTAGCTGCCTCTAGATCTGCTCTTAAAAATTATTGAGGACCCCTCCCAAAGAATTTTGGTTTATATGGATTATATCAATAAACAACATCTTATTATTATTATAAAAATAGTTTTGACCTCATGGACCCCTTAAAAGAGATCCCTAGGCCATACTTTGAGAACTGTTAGTTTGTGTATAAGAGATCTGAGTTTTTTTAGTGTATCTATACACTCAATCATGGTTGAGTGTGATGTGGTGCTTAAAATAAAAGTGAATACCACTTTAAGCTGCATTGCAGCATCATATACAGAAGAGGGAGACAAGGTAGAGGGCACTAAGACAAGAGGAAGACTGGAAACCATCCTTTACAAGGATCAGTTGAAGTAACTGAGGAAGCTTACATAGAAGATAAGACTTAGGAAGGACGTGATAGCTTTTTTCAAGTTTTTGAAAGCAGCAGCACAAGAATTAAGATTTGTTCTGGCTTGTCCTCAAAGAGCAGAACTACGATCAATGGAGGAAAAATATCTTAACAATTAGAACCAGCCCAAAATGGAAGTCTAAGCGGAGGCAGAATGGTGGTGGGGATGTCACAGAGGGGATTTCTGAATGGGAATAGATTGGATTGGATGGCCTCTGATGACCTTTCAACTCTGTGATTCTTTTCTTTCATTAAGGCAATTGGGGTTAAGCGACTTGCTCGGGGTCACACAGCTAGTAAGCATCAAGTGTTTGGTCTGAGGCTGGATTTGAACTCAGGTCTTCCTGACTCTAGGGCCGCTGCTCTATCCACTGCGCCACCTAGCTGCCCCTCAACTCTGTAATTCTTTAACTGACTACTCAAGACCACATAGCTAGTCAGTGGTTTAAGCTACTTTTGACATAATTACACTGTTTATTAGCACAGTTCAAAGTTCACATCAAAAGACAACTTTCACCTAAATCCCAGTGAGCTAAATTTTCCTGGTGTTCATGAATGAATTCTGTACCATTTCTCCTGTCATGCTTTAATAATAACAGCTAGCATTTATAGAGTGCTTTATGGTTTGAGATGCACTTTAGAAAGAGCATCTCCTTTGATCTTCACAAGTAGGTGCTTTTATTATCCCATTTTATAGTGGAGGAAACTGAGGGAACAGAGGTTAAGTGACTTGCCCAAGGTCGCACAGATAGTAAGTGTCTGAGGCTAAACTTGAACTCAGTTACTTTGAAGCAAATGAGGGAGCCAATCTGCCTGAATTGGGTGATTTAGGCCAGAAGTGATTGAGGTAAAATGCTAGAGTAAATGACTTAACACTCCAAGCCCAGTGAATTCAGGAATAGTTATGATGATGATGATGATGATGATGACAGTTAATATGGGCCGGCTCAGTCCTCATAACAACCCTGGGAGCTGGATGCTATTTTTACCCTCATTTTACATATGAATAAATTGAGGGAAACAGAGGTTAAGTGTCTTGCCCAGGGACACACAGCTAGGTGTCTGAGGCCAAACTTGAACTCAATTATGGAGGGTCTACTACACATCGAGCCCTGTAGTTGGTATTACAAAGGATATCAGAGTGGTCTGTGAGAAGGTCTCTGCCTTCAAAAACTTTATAGTGTCTTTAAGGAATCAATTGAACATCAGAAGTATATAATTCAGTGCTAAACTGAATACAGCCAAGAGCCAGAACATGTGGTACTGAAAGTAAGCTCCATTTATTTTGAAGCTAGAAACATGGTCATAATGTTTTATGGGACATCATTCCTTAGGAAATACTGCCATTTTCTTTGTCAACAGAATACAAAAATCATCACTTTGGGACCCCTAAATATCCTAAATATATTCTGTCATAACCTCCTCCAGTCCTGGGAGTCAGGAGGAATATGGGTTTGAATCCTTGCTCCAATGTTTACAGGCTGTAGGACTTTAGATAAGTCATCTACCTTGTCTGAGTCTCAACTTCCTCATCTGTCAAATGAGAGTAATCATACTGTTTACCTCACAGTGTTGCTGTAAAGCTTAAAGTACTATTTAAATACTGATAGATTATTGCGACTCTATGGTAATACCCTTTATTATTAGCTAATGAGTTGACTAATGCATTTGGTTGTATAAAGATCACTGGGTTTTAACCAAATTTAACCAATCCTTTCTATCAAGCCAAGTAAGTTGACTCCTCTTTTCTGTTTTTAATCCTTCAACAAAATCAGAAGCGGGTACAGCTTATGGCACCATCCCCTGTCCTACCCCAGCTTCTTTCCATGCAACTATCAGGTTTATCTACTCTGTATTATCTGATGAAACACCTTCATGTACTACTCCAGAGCTACATTAGGAAAAGAGAGCATCAGTGCTCAGAGGTCAAATGCAACCTTTGTGTTTCATCATTTGGCTGTCAGGGTCAGACAGATATGTAAAACATGCAGCTAATCAAACAAGAGACAAGCTCACATGTTACCCCCTCTCACATCCTACTCCTTTCCTTAAGGCTGCTGTGCTGTCTTCCTGAACTGATGCAGAAAAGCCTTTCCTACAAGCTCTGCCTTGCAAACCTTTGAAAATAATAATAATAATAATAATAATAATGATGATAACATTTATATAGTGCTTATTATATGCCAGGCACTGTGCTAAGTTCTTTACAATTATTATCTTATTTGATCCACATAACAACCTTGAGAGGCAAGTACCACTATTATCTCCACTTTATAGAAACTGAGGTAGACAGAGGTTAAATGACTTGCTCAAGGTCACATAGCTAGTAAGTGACTGAGGCCATATTTGAACTCAGGTCTTCCTGACTCCAGGCTTGGCACTCTATCTACTGTACCACTGTGCCTATTTTAATATATGAATTTTCAGTTAGGACTCATGTGCTCTGTTTCCCAGGGACAAACTCATATTATATACTTGATATAAGACTTGAGGACTTCTGAAATGATTTGTTCAATGAGATTTCATAGCTCCAATAATTAGTAAGTATAAACCTAAGATCTGTAGGGCTCAGTGTTAAAAAAAAAAAAAAAGAGGAAAAGGAAAAAGAAAAAAACAAGACACAGGCCCAAAGGTGTTTCTTTCATGCTGTGATTTCAACAGCTTTCACAAAATACAACAGTAGACAGTGTTGCTACATACTGGGAGTAGGCTCTGGCCTTTATTTTAGCGTGGTGTTTGCCAGCACAACAGAATAAAGCCATATTGATAATAATAGCCAGTGGCTTTACATGTAGTATCTCCTTTCTGCCTCATCTGAGAGGTATGTGCTACTATTATCATCCCCATTTTACAGATGAGGCTCAGAAGGGTTAAACGACTTACCCAGGGCCACTCAGGTTGAAAGTATCTAAGGTAGGATTCAAAACCTAGGTTTTCTTGACTCCAGGCCTAGCATCCTAGCCAACTAACATGCTTCCTTTCATCACAGCAATAAGATCCATGTCCTAACCCTTTAGAGATTTCCTGGGGAAAGGGAATGGTGTATGTGTAAAGGCATACTATCCAAGTGACTTACTTCCATGGGGACATTCTTGCACTGGCTCCATTAGAGCCACCTGTGGGGTTGGTCTGGGTTCCTGGAGCTCTTACCTGGGTACAGAGTGTCTGGGAGGCCCATGCTTTGTAAGTAGTTGTGGCAACGCTCTTTATGTTCCTCTAAAGAGCTTCGCTGTTTATAGCTTCGGCCACAATATCCACATTTGTGAGGTTTACCAACTGCAGAAAACACAATTGAGTTCGAGACCCCAATTAAATGTCTGCCTTGAGTGTAATGGAAATGCACACAATAGAGTCATTAGGAAAAATCAAAAAAAAAAAAAAGAAAAAGAAAAAAAAAAGCAGAATTCAACTCTGAGAGCTTTAAAAGGCAATATCGATTTGGCCAAAATGCTCCTATTAAACAGGTTTAATACTTCAGTGGTTCTTACACTGTGGCCAAGAATTTCAGCTCCTAATCTTACTTTATATATATTTGTATAGCACACTAATTGTAAAATTAACTTTCTTTCCCCATAGTAGCCTAATGGGTCATGGAACTTTTCAAGATGAAACCTTTATCATTTGTCTAGGAATTCGGGAGTTTGGGAGCTGGGGGTGGAAGAGGTTTCAATGATGCATCAATCATAGTTACATCTATGAAGTAGGGCTCAAGACTGAGTTTACATTCTGGAAAGGTTCCAGCACAGTAACATAGCCAGATCTACTGAAAATAAGGAGAATAGATGGATAGTACAATTATCTGTGAGACAACGTATTGGTAATTTGCCACCTCCAGACCATCTCAAAGAATGATTTTATTCAAATGAGTATTTTATGTTCCAAAAAAGTACTTTTTACCTCTAACATGATATAAAACTAATTGAACCTGAAGAATTTTGTGATTTTTTAAAAAACACCTAGGTTGTAATAGACTAGCTGTTTCTGAATTTTAAGTGATACTAACAGAAAGCATGACAACCAGGTCTCATTCTACAAAGTCTCAAGGAAATTGAATTTTATTGGTGAAATGGAACTTTGGGGCTTTCTTCCTAATTTTCAACCTTTGAGGAAGAGCATGTGAATATTCAACGTGAAAATTAGAATTCTCCTTTATGGCCTCCTAATAGTACTTAATTGCACATTATAAGGAATCAAACCACCAAAAGTATGAGTGTTTAGTGATACAACTTAAGATAATGCCAAAAGATAAAGGCTGAGCTTACTCTCTGGCTTAAAAATAATCTTAGATCTAAAATTGGCTACGCAATAGAGGCCAAAATCTGACACCATGAGCATTTAACTATGGAAGAAAGGAAGTTAAGTTGGTGTCTTGGATCACAGACCTAGAAGAAAAAAGGAAACTTTAAGGTCATCTTATCCAGCTCCCTCATTTAATCTGAGGCCCAGAGAGTTTGAGTGACTGCTCTATGTCATACGAGAGTAAATGGCAAAGCCAGGATTTCAACTCAGGCACCATGACTCCAAGTTAAATCTTCTTTCCAATAAAATCTGAGAATATAAACTCCTTGAAGGCAGGCATCATTTGTTTTTGTTTGCCTTTTATCTGAAGTCCCCAGCACAGTGCTTGGCACATGGGAGATGTTTAATAAATGCTTACTGAATTCAATCGGAAGAAAGTAACATCTAGCACTCTATTTAATAATACTCCTTGTCAAAATGCTGAATGAAACTCCAGATCTCCCTGCGTGCTGCCTTCATAGTTTAAAAAGGTGCAAACAGCAAGGGCTATTTACTTTCCAATGATAACACTTTGTCTTCTGGCATGTCATTCCATAAGACGACCTGTTTATGAATAGTGCTCTTCCCAGCTCTCCTCCCTGAAATATACCCTATATTATAATTTCCGTGTAAATAATTTAGTTTAGCTCAGGCATAATTCAGGAGACTGAGGGCAAGGAACAAACTCACAGATAGAAAAGGAACCTTTGCCTCAGCAATTTGGATGGGTATCCTCAGCTCGCTAGGAACAGAAGAAAGACGGATGGATTATCTTTGCCTTGTGGTCTTGTATAACTCCTTATGGAATGTGATCTTTTAAAATTTTTTTTTAAAAATTATTTTTAGTGATCTTTAGGGATATTCCTTAAATGGAAGGTCCATGGAAGATCTGCTGATAACAATGATGGGGTATATAGAACTTCAGGGCTTTGATTTAGCAAGATCCTTAAACCAAGTCATCAGTCAACTGATATTAAGTAGAACTATATGTCCAAAGCTGGAAGGGTCCTGAGAAGCCATTTTGTCCTACCTCTTCATTTTGTAGATGATGAAACTGAGGTCCAAGGAGGTAAGGTAACTTGGCCAAGGTCTAATAGGGAGCAAGGAAAAAGCCAGGATTTGAACTTGGGTTCTGTGACTCCAACTTCAACACTCTTTACCCTGTGCCACACTACTTCAGTGCTTCAAACTGGTACATAATAGGCACCTAATAAATGCTCATTGATTACCTTCTTATTTAACAGCTAGCTAAAGCATTTTTAAAAAAAAATTAAAGTATTTTTGTATGGCCATGGAATCTAGGGGGCAGGAGAGAATTTATTCACTGTGAAAATCAACAACCTACTGTAAATCTTATGTTTAGAGGAGTCATGAGAACTACATATTAAGGGATGCTGTGTTAATAATAATTCCTGTCTATGTGGCATTTTAAGGCTATGGAAATGCTCAAAACAACAGTGCCTCTGAGGCATTATTATTTCCATTTTACAGATGAAGAAACTGAGTATTAGAGAGGTTGAGTGGCTTGCTCAGTGTCAAAGTGGTCTTCAAACCTGGGTATCCTGACTCCAGATCCAGAACTCTTCTCCCTATGCTGTCCCACTGTAGTCATCTTAAGCTTACGTAGAGACTAGAATAAAATATTCTCTACTTACATTACCACCATTTTCCTTGAGTGAAGACCCAAGGATTCACCTGATCTTTAATAAAACTTCAACACTGAAAGCTGGGAAGCAGCAGAAATCATTTGGTGTCCCTGGGAGCCAGGTACCAGTAATATTTTAGGACATTAGATTAGTGTTGTTAGAGGTGGATACATTCTGGTGTTCTCACTCTGGTATTCTATCTAGCTTAGAGTGTCTATACTATACAAGCTAAGGTGTGCCATGGCAGCACACAGATCCATTGCCTGTCATGTCTGATTAGTTAAGTAATTAGTCACGACTGGGGCAAGATACCATTGTGCCTCAAGTAAAATTAGCAGCCATGAGGCTGGAATAATATCTGGGGGCAGTTCCAATACCTAATTGTCCTCCTGTCTCAGATTCTGTGTTATAGCAGAGATAAAAGAAATCAACATGACTTTACATTGGAATGAAGGAGTTCCTAGTCCTGGATCTCTCTTATTAATTGAAATTAAACATTTCCAGCTGCCAATGATGAGCCAGTGACAAGAGATTCCTACAAATGCTCCATCCTGCTCATAAACACAGCTAAACCTCTTAGTATAATCACTCATATTTTCTGCTAGAATGGAAAGTTATGTCTTTAACCAGTGTGGGTATTGCCATGCCAGTGAATGACGATTCTAGACATAACTGCCCTCTATGTGTATCTTGACTGATAAATGAGAGATGCATCCTACCACTTTCCTCATCTGTAAAACAGAGAGGTTAGACTCATAATAACTCACATTCCTCTATTGTTTTAAGGCTTACAAAGCGCTTTTTTTGTACAAGCTTTTCTTATCTCCATTTTCAAATGTGGGAACTGAGGCTCAGATTTGTTCATGGTGACCCAGTTAGAAAAGGTCCTAGCACAGTGCCTCGCATATACATGGTGTTTAATAAATGTTTATTGAATTAAGCATGATTTAAATCCAGGTCTTTTGACCCCAAGTACAGTATTCTTTTCATTGTAGACTCTCAGGAGACTAGATGACCTTTTCTTTGCTTCTGTTATATTCTAGTAGGCATATCTGGGATTCATCATATTACTGAGATCTGAGCAGAGTGGTAGGTCTACACATCCTCTTTTTCACAGTCACTCAACTCACAACCATCCTTGGTAACCCTTTCAAATACTTAAAAATCTTTATTGTCAAATTGTAGCCTTGACCTTTTGACAGTCAGTACTACAATGCTCCCTAGCATGCAGACGAGTAGTAGATTAATAAAACAAACCTTATCCACCCATTATAACTAACTATCTTCCTCAGTCAAGAGGGTACATGATTATCTTAAAGTCTATTCTAATGGGTACAGACAACATGGTCTCACAGATCCAATGGTACACTATTCATTTTTCTATACAACTATCTAAAAAATGTGTAAAATATGTAATTGATTTTTCTCTCTCCATCTTGTTGTTGATGTTCATTTACAATATCATTTCATTGACTTAAGATGCTTAGAAAGGGGGGCTTTAAATCTGGTGTTAAGGGAAAGTTAATATCATTATTCATACCAAATGATGCAAAAGTCTTCGACTTTCCTCTTGGAGAGCCCTGCTCCCTGGTCCTCAGGCTCTACTTCACCAAATGGGAATATGAAGAATTGATTCCACTTCCATTCAGTTACTGATTTACATACTAAGTGTACCAATAACAGTACAGTGGATTTAGCAAATGTCTTTCTTACAAGAATCTTAAAAGCCTTCACTTAGATGTTCTATTTAAGGAGATTTCATGTAGGCATCAGACAATACCCAGCCTCACAACACTGCTGTTAAGTAGGTGGATGACTGGAATACTGATGCCTCTTCAACTAGTAGAGAACCAGTCATAGATATTAAATGCATGTGACATAGCACTGCTGAATGGAGACAGAACTTTCATTCACAGTATTATAACCCCACTTCTCTCTCTTTTTTTCATTCCTTTTAATGCAGGTCCATCTTTGCTGGCTGCATATCCTGCTCTCTCTCTCTCTCTCTCTCAGGAAAACCCCTATCACACAACCATTGCCTAAAACTCAAAACCTTTATGAGATTTATTTGGGAAATGACTATAACAACTTCTCAGATTTGTAGTCTAATAAAGGAAACTTTAAAAGCTCATGAAGTGGTTCACCAGTGGTTCCAAGCTGTTGGATTCTCTCTTAGGTCACCCATTTCATTAGTTTCATGTTTGCTCATCACTACTAGGAAAAACAGAGAAGTGATTCCACATGCCCCTAGTATGAAAGAAGCTGACAATCTATTATTATACATTCTTCTAGACTCTAACACCTTGAAGGCAGGCCTATTTCTCATTCATCTTTGTGTACCTCAGAGGTACTATCTTGCATGTTCTAGGTATTTAATAAAGATTTATGGAATGAATGGATAAAGTGAATGACCTAGGGCATCTATGAGTTCCTTGAGGGCAGTGAATGTGTTTTCTATTCCTTTCTATCCCTCCCTTTCCCCACTAGCCTCCAAGGCACTGTTCATTGTATTGTGGATGCTCAATGAATGTTACTGACTGAATGTGATTTGAAAAAAAAAACTTTACTCTGAAAGCCACATTATGTAATATCAAATCAAAATTAGAGGTTTCAATGAAATACTTTACCCCCTACTGAACTGCAGGAAGATCTAAGTTATGAGAAACCAGTTTTTCAGGTAGCAAAAGACCTGATGTGGTTTCCATACAGGTAGGAAAAAAGCAGGATTTGTCTAGAACTCCAGAAAGAATTGTCAAGGGAATGTTAAGAAATTGTAGCTTCTGGAATCTACTGTAGATTTACATAGGGGGAAAAAGGTAGAGGGAATCTCTTCTCACTTATGTTGCTCCGATCCGAATTTTCTAATTCCAGAATTAATTGACTTCAAGTATTAGAATCATTAAGACCACAGTCCAAGGGAGTCTGGCTATTGCCCCCTGGTTTCAACCACTTAACAAATGGCGGCAGAATCTAAATTGACTTGATCAACCAGCTCTGCAAAGCAAAATATCCCACTGCTGACACTAGAAAATATGCTCTTGGTAAAGAGAGTAGTAGGTCAGGCATTAAAAAAGATTGAAAAAGTTATCTGAAATTATTATTTGATACCACTGGCATCAATAGTACTTCTTGGTAAAAATCAGATCAAAATTATTACTTGACTTTGAACTCTTTGATCAAATTGACTGAGAGAAAGAAAGATGGAGTTACTTTGGAAATGTGTCACCTAAGGTATGACTCCAATAAACCTGTCCCTTCTTTACCTTCCACCATATATTATCGACAGGGACAAGAAAGTCAAAGTAAAGAAAGTTTGCAACTCTTCTGACAAAAGAACTTGGATGGATTTGGAAGCTTTGGACTGAAGATGGAATCAAGGCTAGTGCCTAAGGACTCCCTTCCTTCCTGTGAAATACATCAAACACACGTGGTGGCAGCCAAGATGTCCGCAGCCATCTCGGAAACAAGAGGGGGAGGATGAGCTTCTCGGGGCCCACGGGTATTGCTTCCTAAGGGACCTACCCGAATGAGTCCTCAGGTGACCTGTGAGGGCATCCCTCCTGCGGCATGCGTAGTTACAGAGATGACACTTGAAGGGCTTCTCACCAGAATGCAACTTGATATGACGGAGGAGGTTGCCTTTCTGAGTAAAAGAGGCACCACACTGATTGCACTGGAAAGGGCGTTCTCCTGAAAGAGGGGGAAGAAGAAATATGTGAGAACAAAAATCTAACACGGGAACAAGAGAAAGATTTCAGTGAAAAAGTTGTTTTCCCAGTGGTGCTCCATGACTTCTACCGGCTGCAGGTTTGATAGAACATGAGGCTTTCAGACTAAACCTGCCAGTTTCTTAACGCTTCACTGGTTGGGTCAATTTGATCTGAAAATCTAATTTTTTTTTCCTAAATCAGAATGGCACATCACAATGCAAATTCAAACTCATTTAAATAAAGTGACTGCAACATTTTGTGTTGAAGAGCCACTCTTCCTGATCAGCAGTTTTGGAATAAACCAATATCCAATTTTGCGTGTTGTGGCATTTGGTGGGGTTTTTAATGTGGCTTTTTTCAAAGGGTCTTTAAAATATGCCACTGAAGCAGCAAAATAAAAAGGAAACTCATTAAAAATGCATTTCAGGATCACAAGTTCATTTCAGCGTTACATTCTTATATTTAAATGAAAGGCACTTCATTATAACAGTTATAATAACTTCTTTCATTTACATTTTCCCTGTATTTTCCCTTTCAATTTCTTCTCCATTACCTGTCTGTCCCTAAGCAGCCAAATCAGGAAAAAGAGAGAAGGAGCGAGAGAAAAAGAGAGAGAGAGAGAGAGAGAGAGATTGAATAAAGTAAGTTAAGATACTATGAAGGAAACTGTCTCCAAATTAAAATCCTGTCTCTCCATGTGGCAGGATTATAAAATCTGAGTTGCATTAATGTTGTTTGTTCTTTCTTCCCTCAAATCCTCTTTCTCCCATATCCTAAAATCTTAAAATTCTTATTTCTCTAAATGTATTGAAAGTGTAAATTTGAGAAGAAAGCTTAATAGCTTAAATTGCTATTATTAGGGTTTTTATTTTGGGGGGGATGTGGGAGTAATATTTATAATCTCTTTTGAAACCAAAGTATGCGACTCAAAAAATGTGTAGATCTTTCTAAGTGTGATAGCCTATGTTCTGGGCTTTAACAAAGGGGTAAACCGGTAAAAATTTACATAAGAAAAGAATGTTAAATGCTGCTATCATTCTAAGGAGTTCTGAGACTTAGGAGATCAACCAGCTGGACATTTAATTTAACCCTTCAAATCACATGAATTATTTATTTCTATATTTCATGGGGAAAAAATATTTGGGTTTAAGTCTTTTTGAAGATGAACCCTTCAACTTGGGCAAGTGTTACATGACAGAGTACCATGAACTTAAGATACCTTCAAAAATATTTAATTATACTTATTTTTCTTAAGAATTATTTCTTGGGCTATGCTTCCATATGGCAGAATTTGACCTGCTTTAAAATTGACTGACATGTTTTAGGTCAACTAAACGTTGGCAATCAATGGTAAATGGAAGGCTAGATTGGGCTAGAAAAGTCTACATTGGGTTGATTTTTAAGATCTGATGAGCATCTAAACTCCAAGATATAAAGCTATAATGTCACAGCTGAAATGGACCATAGAGGTGGCAAATCTCTACAGAAGGCACAACTTTTTAAAAGTCTAAAGCAAAAAAAAAAGCCCGAGTTCCCTTCACAGTATCTTAACCTCTCCTTTCAATCTATTGTTCTCTGCTTCTGTCTGCTTAACCCCCACACCCTTCTCTCTCAATTTAGTATTTTAACTTCTCATTTTATTCTATCTGTTTTTCTCTTTTTTTTTCTTTCTCTGTGTTGCTGGTTGCCCCCCCTCAACCCTCTTCAGATCTGGTGGCTATTATAATGGTTGGGAAAAAAATCATAATATCCAATTGTAGGGCTGGTTGGTAGGTTTCAATGTCTGTGTTAATGCTACAAAGCTGAATTGTGTATTCTTCCCAGAGTTTAATTTCTGGATTGCACTTTCCCAAGAATGCAGAAAAGATTTAGAGTCAAATAACTCGTGATATTGCTAGTCAGTCTAAATCTCTGTGTCTGATGATAAGAAACTTGGGGGGCAGATCTGAAAGCAGAATTTAAAAACAGCTGAAAACAAGATCTCATTGATGGACTCCCAAAATGAAGAATCAGTTAATTCTTAATAAGCAGCTTTTTCTGTCAGTCAGCATTTTATTTCTTAGTTTCTTATTTTAATTTGGAAAAGTGGACATAAAAGAAAAGGATGCTCAGAGTGTGCAGGGAGACCCATAATGTGTAAGAACAAAATGTGTTTCCAGCCCCCAGTTCTCATTTTGACAAGGTGAAACCTCAGGCTATGTGGGAAAGAAAGGCAGCTGGAGAATCTAAAATTCTGTAGACATACATAGCAAGTACGTGGGGGCACAAGCCTTCCCACACAGATAGCACCTGTGGTGTGATCTAAGCCCACAGCACCCATACCTAGGTTGCAAAAAAAGAAAAAAAAAAGCAGCTAGCCTTTGCTCTGAAAAGGGGCTGCAGTTTCCTTTTTTTTTTTCCTAAATTTGAAATGGATGCAAGAAAACATGAGTGTGTATGCCTCAGCAGGAAGAATTTTCTTTAAAGCAATAGTAGTAAAGTCAGTCTGAGATGAGAAAAGGTGGGATGCTGACAGTCAAGTCAACTTTCTTCAGAACAAGACACAAAAGAAAGGGAGGCATCATTTCTTAGAAAGTAAAATCTGTCTTTTAATTTGAGTAACCACTTCTCAGATTTCCTGCTCTGTGTCTTAGATATCTATATATTCCTCCTGGCCAAGTTTACTGGAACTCCATTTTTTTTTTTTTGTCTGAATTCCTAAGCATGCATAAATATGTACCTTAGTTAGGGTGTGATGCCTTTTTGTAGGTCATACTCCAGGCTGTTAGAACAGAGTGTCAAGCCTCAAGCTAGCTTGCTGGTTGGTCTCCCTGCCCCAAATCTCTCCCTTCTGCAGTCCACCCTCCACTAATCTGTCAAAGTGGTCTTCCTTAAACCCAAGTCTGAACAAGTCACCCCTCTACTGAATAACCTCCAGTGGTTTCCCATTGACTTCGGGATCAAATATAAACTCTTATCTTTGACTTTTAAAGCTCTTCATAGCCTGAACCCTTCCTACTTTTCCTGTCTTCTTATACCTTACTTCCCCTTCTACTCCAGTGACACTGGCCTCCTTGCTCTTCTGCCAAGAAAACATTCCAACACCTGACTCTGCATTTTCACTGGCTGTATCCCACATTTGGAATTCTCTTTTTCCTCATCGATGCCTCATAGGCTTCCTTTAAGTTTTAGCTTCTTCAAGAATTCTTTCCCATTCCTCCTTAATTTTAGGTCTTTTCCTCAGATGATTATCCCTAATTTACCCTGTATATAGCTTGTTTGTACATAGTTGCTTACATGTTGTCTAACCTATTAGATTATGATTTCTTTGAGGGTGGGAATTGTTGTTGACTTTTCTTATGTGCGCTTATGTCTTTCACATAGTAAGTATTTAATAAATCTTTCTGAATTGACTTGATTGCCTAGAGATGTTCTTAGGGGGAACTTATTCCAGGGGGTTCCTGAGTGAATGTTACCATAGTATGTGCTAGTATAAAGATTTTCTATTTATTTGATTGAGTTCATAATGCCATATTTAGACTTTCGGTTAATGGGAATTCAATTTCTTATATTGTTCCTTAATTTAATAGGGTTGACTACGTGGTAATGTTGCATAGAAGAAAGAGGTCTGATCTCGGAGTCAGAAACACCTCAGTTTAAGTACTGTTTAATGGGGCAGTGGAAAGTATATTGAATCTGGAGTCAGAGGACCTGAGTTTGAATTCCTGCTTTTGACACTTAACTCTATGGCCTTAGGCAAATCCCTTAACCTATCTGAGCCTTGGTTTCCTCATGAGGTGGACGGGACTCAGTAAACCTCTGAAGTCCCTTCCATCTCTAAATCTACAACCATTTGATACTCTATACATCCTAGCTGTGTGACCATCGGCAAGTCACTTAATCAAATGAGATGACATATGTAAAAGTACTCTGCAAATCTTAAAGTGCTATATCAATGCTAGCTACTATTATTACTATTATACAATACTAGCTATTATTACTATTAACTAACCATTCAGTCCCCTAGGCAAGTGTCCAGTACTATGGTGTAAAGAACACCTAATTTGCAGTCACAGGATCTATATTCAGATTCTAATTCTGCCAGTTATCATCTATGTGACCTGAGAAAAATCATTTCCTCTCTCTGAGCCTCATTTTCTAAACCATAAAATTAGAAGGTTGGTCTCTATGGTCCAAGACCCTTACAGCTTTAACCATGATCCTATGATGAGATAGTCAAATTGCGTGGAGACTTGGTACTGGGAATTCCTGACACCAATAAAGCACAAGTCTTCACACACACACACACACACACACACACACACACACACACAAATACACATACACACACACATACATCCTACAAATTCAGGGCATTTAAGGTGTGTAAAGGCAGATAAAACATCCGTAAGTTGCAGTGACTAAGGTCTCTTACTTCTTGATCATCTCTTAAGAAATGTCGGGCAATCCTTACACCTTGAATTCATGGGAAAAACAATACTTTGTATCAGGCAGTTAGGTGGCATAATGGATAGAGTGTCAGGCCTGAAGTCAGGAAGATCTGAGTTCAAGTTTGGACTCAGATACTTACTAGCTGTGTGACCCCGGGTAGGTCCCTTAACTCTGTTTGCCTCAATTTCCTCATCTGTAAAATGAAATGGAGAAGGAAATGGAAAACCACCTTGTTATCTTTGTCAAGAAAACCTTAAATGGGGTCATGAAAAGTCAAACATGATTGAAAACAACTGAACAACAAAAATCTACAACCTGAAAAAGCTTGGAGTGGATAACACATATTCTGATTCAAATTTAAGAATATTCTTGATGAAATTTAGCTTCAGGCAGCAAAAATCCTCTGATACTTGTTAGATCAGCAGAATTCCTGTTTGGCTCCAAGTAAGGCATATAGTCCTTGATTCATTAAAGAGAGGGGACACATGTGCACATCTTTTTTCAGCACTTTGTAAAAAAAAAAAAGCCAGCCTGTTCCTCATTTTAAAATATTCTTATAATTATTGACTATATTTATAATTATTTATTATATTTATAAACATAAAATAATCCCAATGGGATTAGTAGGAGAGTTATTATTACTGCATTCTAGGGCAGAGATATGAAAGAATAACTAGTTGACACATTATTGAATTATGCCTTACTCTTCATGATCCCATTTGATTCGTGGAAAAGATACTGGAGTGGTTTGCTACCTCTAGTTCATTTTGCAGATGAGGAAACTGAGGCAAACAGGGTTAAATGACTTGCCAAGGGTCCCACAGTTAATGTCTGAAGCCGTATTTGAACTCAGGTCTTCCTGATTACAGGCCCAGTGGTGTATCCACTGCATCATCTAGCTACCCTTAGTTAACACATATAAACCTACACTAGAATGTAAGCTCTTTGAGGACAAGGATTATTTTATTTTTGTTCCTACATATTGCACATTTAGCACAATCTCTAGAACACAGTTGGGACTGAAATACTAGTTGAACGAAAGTTAGGCTATAAAGATGACTGCAGATAAAATAGTGTTATGAATAAAAAAAAACATTTCTAAAAGTCCCTTCCAGCTTTGGATCATGTTATCTAAGTCAGAGGAATGAGATCTATGATCTAACTCAGATACATCTTATCATTGTCTATTAAGGTTGGAGTTCTAGAACCCAGCCAAAACCAGTGAGGGGAGAAGATAAGGAATTCATAAGGTCATAGATTCAGAGCTAGGAAGGACCTTAGTGACTGAATCAACCCCGCCTTCGTCATTTTACAGGTGAGGAAACGGTGGTTCAGAGTAGAGGAAATTACTTGCCCAAGGTCACACAGGTACATGGTAGAGTCGGAATTCCAAGTCAGGTTCTCTGTCTCTAAAGCCTTTGCTTTTTTTAAAACATGACACTCCCTCAGTACAAATGAGAGCCCTCTAAGGAAAAGGACCAGTAGTGTCCTCATTGCAAAGATAAGGGGGGGAAAGCAATTTTTTTGGAACACCATGGCTGATCTTAATTGACACAATAGTGTAAAAGAGGAGATAGGATTCTTAAATTTCACTATCGATTTTTGAAATGTAGAATCCATTTTCAGTGAAATATTTAAAATAGAGAACTGCTCTGAAATAAGCATTTCTTATTGTTTCTGGCATAACTATACTTCCATTCTATCTAAGGATGTTCCTAAACAGGGCGATGCAGGGGCCAGCTTATACCACCAGTTTAGTACAACCAAGCATTCAATTTTCAGTGTGAGTATTTATACCTTGGAAATCAGCAAGCACTACAAATCAGAGCTTGGTTTATTGTTTTTGTTGATTATTTAGACACAAGAAAGTGATGGAGAAAAATTTAGTCAACTTAAAAGTGTGTCACACATATATTTTCCCCCCCTGTGAATTGGTTGTTAAACATTTAGCAGTACATCACTATTCCTAAACATTGCTTTACCTTATGGAATTCAGGAAGAGCTATAAATAGGTCACTTCACATAACACATAGGACATAACATTGAAGGGTAAGGCTATTAGACCTTTTTCATACTCGAGCCAGGATCCAGAAATGTGAAATACTTCTTTTAATCAATGGATCCAGTCCACAAATGTGATATGATCAACAGATTTCCACCTGTATAAGGCTACCCTGTAGGGCAGAGACACAGATTGTTCTGCATGAGGGAAAATACACTGTGATGCCAACCCTATAACAAATCACTGAGCGTAATAATCTGTCTCAAATCTTTTCCCTACAGGTTAATGTGGGAAAAATAACTTAAAGATCCACTGCCAACTAAAAGATTGGGGGTGGGTGACCGTGACTTGAATTGACTTGCTCTGTAGGTAGAAGAAATAAAATATACTGGAGAGTCCTTGGTACTTTACTGCTATTTGTGGGCAGAAGTGGGTAGCAAACAGCAGGTGCTGCTATGCATATCTGCACTTGGCAGGTTTATTCATTAAATGTAATTATTCCTTTTATCAGGTCAGCCAGTCATTATATTTCAGCATTTTAGTATGCCAGAGCTTTATTCATTTATCAAATATTTATTTAAGAGAATTTCACCATACATGCGGGCTTTACATGAATTAGCGGCAAAGTAATTCATTTGCAAGGTTTATTCCTTCATCAGGAATGTATTAAAATAGGCTTCAGTATATTCTGTTAAGTGTCTATCACATAGTATCCTATTTTCACTTTAATTTTCACATCACTACAAAAGGGGGAAATGTTATTACTATTACACAGCTTTAGTTCAGACTATAAGTAATGTGTCTATTTAATTGGATAATTTCAGGATTCAGGAGCCTACTTGGCAAAGCAAAGTTTGCTCATTCTAGAAATTACATTTTCATTTAAGATAAATTCAGGGGCTAATTAGTGAATTTCGATAAAATGCCTCAGGCATATTCTATATGAGTTACCTTATTTTGGGAATCTACCTCTTCTCCACCTCCAATAAATCCTTCTTTAGATCAGCCAAAATACTTTGCTAGGGAACACAGGTTAGTTACTAAATGGCTTCTGGAACTCCTGCTTTCTATAAAACATCAGTATTTACCCCCAATACAAGGCAGGCTTATATAGATGAGGGAATACATGGCTGAATAGAAGACAAAGCTGGACAGCTGAAATCAACTGTAGGGTAAAATAAAAAGCCTAGTGATGTCATGCCATGGCATGCCTCCTTCTGTGTCTTGCTTTCTTCAGGTTTCGTTTTGTGGCCATGCACTGCTGTATAGAAAGAATATAGTCACCTTCTTTAGCACCCTTGAAGCATGGCTATCTCTACAAATACAACAGGCTAGTGTGATCTGGGAAAAGAATATATGGTCATAGACTCACAAGACCATGTATCTAAAAGTAAAAGAGTCCTCAGAGACCATCTAATCCAATCCCCTCATTTAAAGAAGAAACTAAAGCCCTGGGAGGTTGATTACTTACCTAAAGTTAATTCAAACTCTATCCAACCCTTGGGACACTGATTCCATCTTACATATTTTGATAAATGTTCATTCTTCTAGGAAAGACTAGTCAATTCCACTTTTATCTCTATGATAAAATATGATATGATATCTCTATGATATGATATGATATCTCTATGATACATTTTCGTGATTTCTCTTAGGTTGTGAGGTGGGTGGATACTAACTTTTTGGATAATTCGGAAAAGTCAGTAACTTACCCTTAAACGGTAGCACTAACTGAAGCCTGGCTATATCACTGTGAAAGTTTCAATGACCTCTCAAGTTAACCAAGGTCTGACTCCACAGAAACAAAAGTGAGGATCTGGTTTAAATACTCAGGAGGCTCTAACGTATGACCAATGACCAAATTTGCTCCATTCATATTTTAACTCCCAGATTCAGCAGTATTGGTGATAGGGATCCAACAATTCTGCTGGCATATTACTACGCTATTCAATCAGTGTGGTTAAATGTTAGACACATAGCACATCTCAAACCTTGAATGTTGTTTAGTTGGTTTAGTTTAATTTCTATAGAACTCTAAGCTTTGCAAAGCACTGCACATGCTATCTCATTTGATCCTCATGACAACCCTGTGAGGTAGTGGGCCATTATTATTCTTATTCTACAGATGAAGAAACAGAGGTTAAAAATGATTAGGTGACTTTCCCAGGGTCACACAATTAGTTAGTGTACAAGACAGGATTCGAATCCAAGTTTTCCTGGCTTAGGTCTAGCACTCTCTCCACCATGCCACTTGGCTGCTCTCAGTTTACTGATTCTCATACTACGGTATGCTACTTTACACTTTTCAGGAATTCCTAATCTCTTAAGGAGTGGAGAATATGGTAAGAATGTATGCACAATGATCAGGTAGAATTCTAATTTCAGCCTTTATCAGAGATGATAAGATCAAATGCTCTTTCTTTTGAATTACACTACTTATACAGCTAGCCATTTTCCTGTGGCAGTCACTGGCATTCTAGTCTTTTTATCAGTTATAGGTTGGAGATAGTGGAACTGAAACAACTTCATTTAAATTTCTATATATTCCCATTTGGACCATTTTTCAAGGCCCATTTGTGCAGTTTAAATGCTGAACAAAATTCTGTTATTATAAAATGTTTCTAAAATTTGAAACCTTGTTAGGAAAGAATTTAAAATAGACATATTGATCCTATGCTTACCATCTAATGTAGTTAATTTGCCAATGGTTCTTACCCTTCTAAGACATAAGAAGTGTATTAATGTATGGCTATGTAACATTAATTGATTTAAAGCATGCTTGAAACAGTTTCTTATGTGTCAAGTTAGGCCCACGATAGGACACACATACTATTTGTTGTCATTTAAATAATCAATCTTTTTTCCTCTCTTTCTCTCTCTCTCTCTCTGGTGAGGCAATAGGGGTTAAGTGACTTGCCCAGGGTCACACAGCTAGCGTCATGTGTCTGAGGCCGGATTTGAACTCAGGTCCTCCTGACTCCAAGGCCGCAGCTCTATCCACTGCGCCATCTAGCTGCCCTCTTTTTTCCTCTCTTTCCCCCTTAATTTTTAGATACTCTCTTAATTCCCCCTTAATTAATTTTAGATACTCTCTTTAACTTTATTCTCAGGTAAGAAAGATATGTCTCCCTACATCATTTCAAATGATTTGAGGTGCTGCAAAGCAAGTCAATTTGGAGCATGCTCCCAACCCAGAAAAGAAACAAGTTTGTTCTATGCAGGTGACCCATGGGACCATTTCTAGGCCCCTAAAGGAAAAACTATGTGGGGCCTTACCAGTGTGGCTTCTTTTGTGAACCATGAGCACATTGGGACCGATGCAAATGATCCCACAGATATCACATTTTAGCTTTCCGTTAGGAAGTCGAATGCCTCCAACTCCTGACAAAGCTTTGCTGCCTTGGCCATTGTGTGAACCATTCATTTTCTCTCCCGAGGCATCAAGCATTCGTAAATCCTCCGCACATTCTTCCCCATTCATTTCACAGGCACGCCCATTCTCTTCATCACTCTGAGTCTCTACTTTAACATTACTGGCTGAAAGAAATAATACAGGATGCCACTCAGTTTCATTGCAAAGGAAGAACAAACAAGACAGTGGCAAAAAAAGACAATCAAATCAAAGAGGGCAACTTACTACATGCACAAAGGGTATTAGGTGATATACCAAGGTGAGAGCAGCCATGGATGGAATGGCTTGTTCTGTGTGGGTAACTTCAATGGCATATGGGACAATATGGAATGGAAGCCAGGCAGCTATATACAAAGCATTAATGGCTCATCATTGGTGACTTGATTGCATTCCAAATAGATTTGATTGATATGCATGGGCATGCTCATATGAAGTTCTCACTTTAAACATTTTCTCATCTATAAAGCATGCAAAAGTCACCACTGAATGGCAAATCACTACAATGCTGTTTTTTCCCTAGATCCTTACAAACATTATTAGATGGGGGAGGGTGGTGGGCAAATACAGCTACAAAAATATACCTATCTATACTCAGATACATCAATCTGTGTATGTTAATTTCTGTATATATTCATTCTCCCAAATGAAGTCTGAATTTCTCTCATCTTCATATTAATCTCATTTTTTTCTAAGAGTACCTGCCAGAGATTAACATTCTAATTCCTCATCATTTACTATGAAATAAATGAAATTTGTGGGACAAAATGAACAAAATATTTTTCTGAATTACGAGCCAAATTCCTCCTTTGGATTGCTGAGGGGGTGATTATACTAGTCTATGAATGTCACAGAGCTCTAATCATTTCTCCAAGAAAGAACAGATTGTGGGAGGAGTTTGTATTAATGAAGACAAATTCATTATTGGCTCTGAGACTTGTTCCACTGTGTCACATAAACGATAATTTTCATTTCATTCACTCATTTTGCCTTGTAAAGAGCACTGGAGAAATTTTATTCGCTCTCTTCTGAAGTACTGACTCATAGCACTACTAGAAATCATGTATGCACAGAACAGATTGAGATAGTAATACCCTTTGCCGGGGAAAAGAGTAACAGTATATCTACATCAAGGCTACTATAGCTTTTCAGACTGATACTTTAACTATAATTTAACTAATATAATCATCTGATGACTCCACTAAAGTCTTAATCCCATTCCTCATCCTGGTGCACACATGCATATGACAAGGTCCTGAAGTGTCTGCAGGTGGTGCAATTTCAGACAGATTCTACCAATTTGGAAAAGCTTTGAGTATGAGCCTAGTGATAGGCTGTATGCATATCATCTGAGAACCCGCTTCAGAGACAGTCCTTAGGAGCCAAGAGATGATGAATTTCCTTGGCCACAGCAAGAAGTTAAGCCATTACATGGTATGAAGATTATAAACTGTGCGGATGGAGACGACCCACACCAGTGAAATCCTGGAAGAAACTTTTGGATAGTCACTGAGAAAGACCATTGTATTGATTGGAAACATTGTCAAGCCAAGTTCCCACAGCAGAGTTTTACATGGGGATGAACATTTCTTTGACTTTGGAATAGATCTGGTAAACAACTAGTAGTGAAAAGCAAAGAGATACCACAAAGACACTACTCTCCCTGCAGAAGGCTCAGCTTCAGTTGAACTAGGCTGTACCATGCTCTCTTTGGAGAAAAATCACCATAAAATATTGTCCATCAATAAACCAGTTAGTGTATTAGATCCCCTAGGTGCGCAGATATAAGGAAATGGTGTGAGGTCTTCTGTCCCTACCTTCCATTCCACACTCATGCTATGGATAACTCAGACTCCTGGGAGTCCAGGGCCCATGAGCAACATTCTTACATTTAGGTCAGGCTTTTGAGAGGCTGACTCAGACTGTGAATAAGCACCATGGACAAAATAACAAATATTTCCTCCAATTTTATCAAGGGAGGCAGCCTTTCAGAAGAAAAAAAATGAAGATTCTCAATGTGGCTGGAAAATGAACAAGATTGTTTGGATGACAAGAGAGTAAATGTTACTGCCATTACATGAGGAAAAGAGAAAGGGGTATAAATGTCCTAAATTTGTGGTTTGGGAAACAGTGGGTGTAGATTAGTGAATTCTCTTAAAATCTCTGATATAGCTATTGTAACATTAATATTTAACTGACACTTTGGGGGTAGATATAAATTTGGAAGGCCTTACCAGTTCACTAAGCTGCGTTGGCACATTAAGGATGTAGGAGCATCTTAACCGAACACTGGTTTAACTTTGAAATTTTTAAAAATTATCTACTTCAGAGTGGTTCAAGCATGTAGCATGATTCATTTGGAATGAATTCTGGAGTTCAATGGTCTGAATAGTCTTCATCCAAGAAGTTCTTCATGGAGTAACAATTTATAAAAAGCTTGGCTATGCAGAAGTATAGGTTCTGTGGTTTTAGAATAAAGAAACCAATCCATAGAACGTTTATAATACTTGTTCCCTACATTTAGCCATGATTGTTACACCAAGGAGAAACTAGTCAGAGAGGGGTTTGTTTTCTCTTTAAAGTATTTAGAGCAAAATAAAGGCGTTTGGAGATTATTTAGTATAATCCCCTTGGTTTAAAGAGAAGAAAACTGAGGTCTAAAGAAGGGAATTCATTGCCTAAGGCCAACTGAGTAGTAAATAACAATACCAGAATTTTAATCCAATATTCTCTACCTCCAACCCTTCCATTACACTACATGTCTTAATTAAAACGTGGATATTATTATCAGCATAAGAAAGGTCAGTCTGCTTTTCTGGTTGGCTCTTTGTTTTAGTAGGCCTCACAACTGGGGTGTTAATCATTTTAGGACCTCCTGGATTACAACAGGAATAACAGCAATGCTGCTATCTTCATGTGGTTGGGTAAGTGGGACAGGCTGCTTGACTAAGGAGATGGAGCAGAATGTCAGAAAGGAAATGGGAGAGAACTGTATGGGTTCTGAAGAATGAAATAGTGATAAAGTCTTATACACAGCAGGGGGTCTGGGGATATGACCTATGTGGGCCAGTGGATGATATCTGTGGAACTTCTTTGGGAGAAAGGGTGGCCTAGAGAAAGGAGATCTTCTGCCAACCTTTTCCTACCATCCCTTGTCCATAATAGCTGGAATAGAAAGACATTCATTCACTAGGTATCTAGCTAAGAAGCTGGAACAGAAAGGAGAAGAAGGAAATGTCTTTTAAAATGAACATTTGTGAAGATGTAAGACAAATTCATTAAAGGATAACTAACGGGGCTGTGAATTTCTAAATGTGTGGGTATGCTCTTTCTGAGGAGGAAGAAAGTCGGGAAAAGAGGCATTGAGTTGTACTTCATCTCGGCCACCAGGAGGCATCCTCAGTACAGAAAAGCCTGGTTGCTACCCACACCACCTGTACGTGAGTGGGGAGGGGATGAGGAAGTAGCATTCAGACAGCCATAAGCATGGGCCATTCACAAGAGCTGAGTGTCTGTGCCTGGAGAATATCTGGATGAATTGTGTTAAGTATGCATTCATTTATGTGTGTGTACCTACAGATGCATGCATATTGATACCCTGAATATTTCAGAGTATTAAGAGTTTGGGATATTAAATCACTCACTAAAACTTTTATAAATTGTACAAGATAGCTACCTAATTAAAGTGGCATGAATTGGTCACCATTCACAAATAAAAATATGTACAGAAAGACATGTATACATACATCCACACATATATGTGCACACATATATACATATACACAGAGAGATACAAACATATACATTATACACTAGGTTTTATAAAAAAACTATTTCTTACATCTCTGTGTATACACACAGCTGTACCACATGTAAATGGCAAAGGATTGAATTAAATATTACAATATGACTCAAACATTAAAGTTTCTCAGATTTAATGAAATAGTATTATAACATGTACTTTTTATATACTTTTTTTTACTACTTATCAAACTATTTCCATAGTAGAGCTTGCCTTTTCAGATCACAACAAACTTAGTACTATAACTTTACTGTTTCATAATTTTAACTTGTTAAAGTTTCTTTATAACAAGAATACAATTTCAGCATGAAAAGCTGAATCAGACAGAAGTAAATAAGACTGTGTAAAATATTTAAAGTAATTTATTTATGATAAACATGCTGCAAGGGATTAACTCTGACAGTTACATTTTTCCACCCTATTAAAAATGATAGATTATTGTTAAGCAGTATGTCAGAAACCTGCATAGATAATAGGGCTAAAAAAACAAACAAAAAACAAGCCAACTCTACACCCTACCCCCCACCCCCCCAAAAAAAACTTCCCCAAATAACTTTAGTATTAAGTACAAATTTGGTAAAATGGAGTGTCATTGACCCCTTTTGAAATGAGTGCTGTTTGGGCACAACCATTTCTCCTATATCTATCAAAACTGCCTCTTCAGTGCTGTCTGGTCAGTCTTATTGACCCTTCTTTGTTATTGAACAGTACAGTTTCTCTACTTCCATTCCAAAATGGCGACCAACTCATGCCACTTTAATTAGGTAGCTATCTTATACAATTTACAAAAGGTTCAGTGAGTGATTTAATTTCCCAAACTCTTAATACTTTGAAATACTCATTCAAAGAAGGTTACAAAGGTATATTTGTTATCAGTTTTGTCCCTTCCCATTCGACAACTGTTAATAATAAAAAGAAATGGAAATTAACATTTCTTTTGGTTCAACAACATCAGTTGGAGAATATTCAGCATGCACTTAGTAATTTAATACGTCACACATTGTTTCATGCAGCAAGACATGATAGAGTGATGATGAGAGCTCGACTCAAAGGCCATCTTTGGGTGCATTGATTAATATTACTGAAGGGAGCATAGGGCTTCATTTTTATGTCTCCCCTAAAAATTAACAGAATAACCTTTTTTTTTGGCACAAACGATTCTCAGTGTCTGCCTGTGACAGAAACTGCGTACACGGTATTAGGATTCAAATGATGCTCCTTATTGGACAATAACATTCATAAGAGTAGTGTTTTATATTACTAATAGAACTGCCTCTGTTCTCCTACTATCATGATTCAAATCCTGACTTTGGTGCTTGTTATCTGTGTGACCTTGGACAAGTCATTTAATTTCTGTGGACTTTTTCATCTGTAAAATGAGAAGGTAGGGCCAGATGACTTTTGGGATTTTTTTTTATCCTCAAATCTATGTTCCTGCTCTTCTAAAACACATCATTTACTATGTGTTCCATCATCCAAACATCCAAGAACACAATTTACAGATTTTACTTCATAGATATTAAAATCATTGGAAAAAACCTTTTCCATATTTCTAAGATAATTATATTCAAGAAACTTGATGGTTAGATGATTTACCTATTAAAGGTCTCTTTTGGGGTATGATATATATGTGTATATCTTTATCATATATATATGCATGCAGATATAAATATAGATATATATCTATATACATCTACATTAAAAAAAACTACACACACAAACACAGAGCATGCAACATGCAGTGGTTTCCTTGGAAGTAACATGGCAGTCAAATGAATCACACAGCCATACTACTTGCAGTAACTGAAATAAATTCGGGGGGAAAAATGGCCACCTTAAATGACACACATAATTGTAATAATAAGCTGAAGTGGAGAGTTATCACAATTATCTGGACAATTCAAGATCACCAAATTTTCTTTGGGGAAAAGGAGTTTTTCCTCAATGCCTGAATCATCCCAATTATCTTTTGAATATGGATTAAATTTACTATATAATTACTCCACTCTCCATTTCACTTTTCCTATAGTCTTATGGTAGGATTCAGTGTAAAATGTTCATCAATGCTAAGTATTATCTGTTTCTGAAAGCATATGAATTCATAAGGATAAAAATTTGAAACCTTTTATAGTGATCAAATACTCAAAAAGAGATATATTTCATATATTGTTTGCCAATCAAATATTATATGGCTTATGCCATTGGGTTCTTAAAAATGAATAACACTGAATACCAAGCACTGGAATGAACAACACCAAGAAAAAAAATGGATTCAATGTCAACGGGTTGTCATTTTCTAGAAGCAAATTGTATACTTACGAGAATAAGATTTTGGAATTAATGCGTGAAAATCCCTAAAGCCTTCAGCCCCATATGTAACTGCAATAAAGAAGGCAAACAGGAAGCTGGGTTGTGATATTGCTAGAAATATAGTAAAAGTCAAAAAAGATGACATTATCAATTGAAAACCACTCCTTACCTAACCACATGGCACACTGTTATTCATAATACAAGGAACATGGAAAAGATATCGTCAACATAAATATTTAGGATACTAATTATCAAACAGATGAAAATGACAATTTGGTGTTCTTTGTGAACTGACACAAAAAAGTTCTCTTAAAGTTTCTATGTTCTATGGATACCTGAAGAATCTATGGCAAACCCTATGCGGGATCCTTCTATCAGCAAAAATCATAGATCACAATCTGGCTAAGATAAGTCCTAGGGAGTTGTCTGTGGTACAGAGAGGTTGAGTAACCTGCCTAATGTCTTCCTGATTTCAAGCCCAGAATATTATCCACTGTGCCATACGGTTTCTCTTCTGTAAGGGTGAGAAAATAACCACCCTGACTCAGTTTTCCCACTTATGTAATGGGAGTATGTGGTAATAGGGTGACAAGTAATGAGAACAAGGACACGTTTTTGAAAAGAGGATCTACAGCACAGGTTCTTCTTGTGAAGTTGTTTTTAAGAAACATTGCATTAAATCAATTATTGCTAATACAACATGTTAATGTAACCAATGATATTATTGTTAATGATATTAATATTTAACATATTATTCAATATAATTGGTTTCCTTTGTAGTCCTGTACTTTTATTTCATGAGTTTAAAAACATTACTGTACGGAGCCCATAGGCTTCACCAGAGTGTCAAAGGGGGTCTATGACCAAAGAAAAAAAAGTTAAAAATCTTTCATCTATAAAAATTTTCAAATTAGCATAAAATTACCATATCCAATAAAAGTTTAACTATGTGGTCATGAGATTATTTTGAATTTCAATAGTTTTGTTGCTAGAAATGATTTTATGTTAAAGCCAGTCCTCAGGTGCAAACTATAGATCACTAAGCACGCATTTGATTTATCAAGAAGTAAAGTCATATAGCTGTAGCCCTCAATAATGTGGAAAATGTTTAAGTTTACTGCTAAGTGAAATGCTGACCATTCTAAGTGGATAAGATGAGTAACAGAGCTGAATAAGATGCCCTGACACACCTTTACCTTATTAAGGACATGAGTTTCAGTCATGCCATCCATGATTTTCAAGGGAATGTTTTTCACTGCAGTCCATAATACTGAACAGACAAGATAATATTATAACACATTATTAGATGTGAAGTACAGAAAAAAAATTTTCAAAAAATTCATTTAAGGGTCTAGGTTTTTGTCAAATTAATGTGAGGGGGCCTTTTAAACATGGAAATCATTGAAAAGATAAAATACTGGAGGCCAGAGCAGAGGTTAGAAGCAGGCAAGTTAATTGGCTAGCTAGGGTACAACAAGGGGCATTTAAAATATTACTAATTTTATAAATTAACTAATACTTGTAAATTCACAAAATTTTAGTGCCCAAATGTCAGAGTTTATTTGTGATAAGTTAAAGTGGGTAGCAAGCCATAGAAGGTATACTTTTCAGACCTCACTGAGCATACACAAATACCCACCCTCGACTCTAAAAGGTTAATGAAAAACAAAATATGGCAATACCGATTAAACTGATCATTTACACTACAGAAATTGCTAGCAGGATAGTTTCATTTGGATCCAAATCACATGATGGTTTCTGAGTTCAAAAGACGAAGAAATGCTATACGCTCTCCAATGCCTGATTAGGGTTATTTATAATAACCAGAAATGGCAAAAATTCACTTTATTCCACTCCGTTATGTACAAGATCCAGTAGTGAGTAGCTACCATGCTTATTGCTAGTAAATATGCAAATTCTAAAGCTACGCATAATAACCAGATCATATTCAGTATACTAAGGATTTTCCTAGTACATAAGAAACTCCCTTTGAATAAGTAAGGTAGCATGTGAAGCTTTATTTTTCTCTTTCATGCTGCCTAGATGCCACTGACAAGCATGAGTCAATAACAACTACACACGGTACTCTCAGACACACAAAAGCATGACCACCTTGACAATGGAACTAGTACTAAAGAAGGATTTGAAATAAGTAGCGATCCACATTGACCGGCACCACTTCCCATGGCCCAGAGAACTTTGTATACAGTCATCTGGGTGTATGCTGCATCCTCACAGCAGATTATAAACTTTATGAAGTCAGAGATTCATCTTTCTAATCCTAGCACCTGTGGTAATAGATCTGACTGGAAGGGACCTCAGAGGACACCTAATCCAACCTTTGTTTTACAGATGATAAAACTGAAGCCCGAAGAAGATAAACTATAACAATAGCTAACATTTATATAGAGCCTACTATCTGCCAGGCACTCTGCTAGATGCTTTACAAATAGTCTCACATTTGATCCTCACCTACCTTGCAGGTATTATTATTATTATCCCCATTTTACAGTTGAGAAAACTGAGGCAGACAGAGGTTAAATGACTTGCCCAGAGTCACACAGACACTAAATGTCTGAAGCTGAAGTTGAACTCAGGTCTTCCTGATTCTAGGTTCAGTGCTCTGTCAACTGAACTACCTAGCTGCTCCTAAGTGATTTAACCAAGATCATATTGGTCATGGGTGAGATTTGAACTCCTAGCTCTCTGACTCCTCAGTATCCTCAGTAGTGTTATTTCTGCTTACTGATCAGGTACTTAATAAATGCTTGTTGAATTGAACTGAACTGACTGCATCCACATTGTCTGCTCTGTTTTCAAGAGGCCAATGGGAAAAGTACTGATTAATGAATATATCTGCTTCTGTTTGAATCCCTTAGCAAAAGGAATGCTCTCACAATTTATTAGTGTTACTTGCTACAATATGACAATGTCTATACTTCAGTTTCTAGTGTATCTTATTGATTTACTTATAATAAGATATCTTTTTAGTGTCTCATGAAAAGCAAAAATCACAATTCTTCACATTACTTCTGGTAGGATTTTTTTTTTCAGGGCTAACCTGGAGTTAAGTGGGGTAGCTGGGCCATAGTGCTTTCTGTTCCCCATACAAAGGAAGGAAGAAAAAGGTGGACAAAAACTGAGGTAGGCCAAGGTCCTTGCTTTAGAGGCAGGAGCTGTGAGGGTGACATGAGGAGTGGGGGTACAGTTTATTCTTAATGCCTCTTTTTGGGTCACTAATTCAAAAAATGTTTTTCACATAGCTTCAAACTTCTCAAACTTATTTTTGAAAGATGGTATAGACTTATGAAGTCAACACTTAAAATTAAAATTCAGCTTCCTAAATTTACTGAAATTTGCTGTTCTAAATTAAATTAATTTCTATTGGTTTGGAAGAATGCTTTTTTATTCCCAGAAATCATTAACCAAGACTTTGTAATCACTTTCTTTTCATAATTCCCCTAATCAAACTGAGTAGAAGAATGAAAAGAAGAAATTAAAACATGTCATTAATGTCAACAAGTCAACAAGCATTTATTAAGCACCTACTGTGTGCCAGGCACTGAGCTAAGTGCTGGGTGGTACATAAAAGGCAATATTACACCTTCTTTTTCAGTGTATACTTAGCTGTGGGATTTTAATACCCTTTGTCATTTCCAATAAGGAGGCAATCCTTTGAAAACTAAAAAATAATTATATTCCATATCCAAGTTGAAAATTGGCTTATGATATTCTCTGGAGGTGGTAAAAAAGATCTAGACTCAAGTTGAGAATAAAACTGAAAGTGTACTTGCATATATGTTTTTAAAATTCTGTTAGCTTTTCAGACCTATTCAGATCATTATTCTCATATTAACTAGGTTAAATATGGTTTGAAGTGAAGCTTCTACATATCTGATATTTAATAGGTTCATTTACTAAAATGACCACATTGTGATTAAGCTAGGAAGGTAGACAAGTGGGAAAGCGATAGGAAGATATTTACATAAGTGAATAAATATGCTAACATATTTACATTAGAATCAACTCAACCTCATCTCTAACACTACCTATGAATCTTTAGGCAAGTCATTTAACTTCTCTGTGCCTCAGTTTCCTCATCTGTAAAATGTGGCTTATCAGATGGTCTCCGAGGTCCCTTCAGTCTACAGTCCTATGATAGATTCAACAACTATTTCTTACATTTCTACTACATATCAATGACACTGCATTAATTTCTGGGGAACAAAGGCAAAAATGAAACAATTCTTTCCTTCAAAGAGGTTACAATCTATTGGGACGAACAAAACATGTATGCAAGCAAAGTAAATGCTAAGTACATGCAAAGTGATAGAAACTGACTTCAAGAGGAATTAGAGCAGTATCTTGAATGGGGCATTTATAATCTTTTAATAAGAAAGTCTTCCTCTAAGAGGGTAAACAAATGGAGCCCTGTGTTCAGAGAACAGACAGGATTGGCAATGTATCTCTCTAGGACCAGCCTCACTAAGCTTAAACTCATCACCAGGATGACCACAGAGTGATGAATATTTTGGGAACAACAACTCATAAGCTCTATCTACTAAAGCATAGGGGATTGTGACCTGCTTTGGTGAAGAGAATGCCCACACCAATGAAATCACAGGTCCCTAAAGTGTTGATGTTATTGACTGTAAATTAAACTTTGGAATCATTTTTCTTGTGAACATCTGACCTCAATATTCTGTCCCTTATTATATCCCTCTTATAGAAGGGGCAAACAAGGGACTGAACTGATAAGACCTTACTCTCATTCTTATTTCTTTGTTCTCTAGTATCTTCCAACTTTCCCTCTTCATTGAGTCCTTGTTCTCAGATTTCTTCTCTGCCATTGTAGACACAGAAGTGCAATGGACCTCACAAGATATCTAGTCCAATCCCCTCAATCTCCAGGTGAGGAAACTGAAACCCCAGGCTAAATAATTTGCCCAAGGTGGCACAGGGAATAAGGATAAGAAGAATTTAAACCCAGTTCCACTGACTCTAGAACCCCTGTATACTCTTTCCATTGTACTATACTCTCATATCAAATGCACATGGTCTCCCCAATT